ACCATAACAAAGCCTGCACTGGTTCTCTGAGCTTCACTTCCACCTCTACTTCATCCGCCAACGCAAGCCCGTACCACAGCCAACATCAAGGGGCAGGCGAAGCACGTTCACATTTGTCGGGAAGGAGCAGGAAGACTGAGAAATGTGTGAATGGTCTAATGGCTGCCACACTATCCTACAGTCAACCCAAGAGCCACAAGAGATTTGCCTTCCTTTTCTCGGACCATCACCGCCCCACACATCCAGTCAGTCATGAGAATCCTAAATGGGTCCCCTCCTTTCTACTGACACTGCCTCCTCAAGAAGCTCTCCCTCTCTCTCTCTCTAATACTGCAACAGCTATGTCACCGCACTTTGATCCTGCAAACTCCCTTCAGAATCCACCCTCTGCACAGGCCGTCAAAACGCCAATCAGAAAAAAGTCCAAAAAACAAAACACCAATCACCAAGCCACTCTCCTGCTTAAATCCTTTCAATGGCTCATTTCCCATGGGATAAAAACCAGACCGCACCTCTCCATCCAACCTCAGCCCAGCTGCTTGCCTCAGGCGTACGCCACCCACACACACTCTCTGCGTCCAGGGCCCCCCGAACTATTCCCAGTTCCCCAGCAAGTATCAGTCTTTCCTGCCTCTGTCTCCCCCTTGCTCTTCCCTCTCATGTCCAGATGCTTCTTGACCTTTAGCTAATATGTACTGGACCACAGACCAGGCCAAGTATTCTGTGTCCTAAGTGCTTTACTGACTGGGGACCACTTGGAATGAGAGAAATCTCAGTGGATGAATACAATATGGACAGGGTGACCAGAGAGAACCCTCTCCCAACATCTTGGCATTACAGAAACTCATTCAATCCTTACTCAAATTTGCCCCCCTCTTCCAGAAAACCCTTCTGACCCCTCCTAGCAGGGTGAGGTCTGTCCCAGCTCTATGTCCCTCCTTAGTGCCTTCTGTACTCTGCTGACTCTGTCCTGAATCCCAGCTATTTGGGTTTATGCATCCTAGTGACCTGACTCTATACATCCTAATATGAAGGGCTAATATTTCTGATGCCAGAACAAACACCAAACCCACACCTCCTGGCTCACCATTCAGTCGGCCACATCACTCTGCTCAGGGCCCCAAGGAAGAGACAGAATTGCAGAAAGCAGAGAACAAAGGGATTTTTCCTGGCTTTTGAGCTTCAAAAGCCTAGGCTCTGAAGTCTTAACAGGAGAGGCTGAAGGCCCAGATAGGATTTGGGAGAAAACCTAAGTAAAAGGGAGGTTTCCCCACCTCCAGATTAATGCTCTAAGCTAGGGAAAAGGAAAGGAGGGGATGCAATAAGAGCCCTGGCACAGAAGGGCCCCAAGAAGAAGGGGCCCTGAGCCCCACTCCCTACGCCAAACCCCTGGACAGGTTTGTAGGACTGAAAGATGGAGCAATTCACGCCTTGTTGGCCAAGTAAAACCCAGAGCAGGCCGCCAGAGTAGAAATGGCTTCAAGGTGTGTCTGGGCAGCCCAGGCCTCACAGGTCTTTGCGGGTAGCACAGAAGTCGGGGAGGGCCTCAGCACTGAAAATGGTTATGCAGACAGGAACAAGAAAGCACTCTGGGATGGCCTGCCTATGCCGCTGACTGGGGACCAGGTGGAATGATGGAACTCTCAGGAGATGGGTGCAGTGTGGACCCCAGGAACCAGAAAACAACCTCCCAACATCTTCCCATTATCTAAGATCCTCAAGACTCAGCTGTGACCCTTGTAGAAAGAGAAGAAATCCCAAATGACAAAGGATGTCTCTCAGGCAAAAAAGATGACACTCAGGCAAAACGGGGGCTCAAAATAGAAGCTACATTCTTGCGATATTTCTTGCATATTTGTGACTTGTACCTGCTAGTCCAATTTCCTGAGACCTCAGCTTCCTTTCCTGTTGGGTGTGGGCACAAGGGAGGTCTGTCTCACTAACTTAAATCCTCCCAGCACGTACACACACACAGACACACACATATACACACACACAACTCCCTACTCCCAGGGGCTGCAGCCTGCCGTGATGGGGCAAAAGGCTCCGGCAAAAGCTCCAGCAGCTCATTCCAGCTAGGCTCCCACCACCCCCGCTGATTTCCTCAGACCCTCTCTTTCCCTCTCCTCCCCACACCCTTGGCCCCAGGAAAAAAGGCAGCACAGAACCAGCAAATACTTCATTGGAGACACACCAGACTCCGCCTGCATCAACTCAGGATACCAGTCACCCCAGCCCCAGCCCCAGCTGTCCTCCAATCCCCCTCCCAGCACGGCACGGCACGGCCCAGACGCTGCCTTGGGAAGAAAGCCTGAGGCCAGAGTTGCTGAGATGCTGGGAAGATCTGGAGACTCAGTTTCCCCAAGATGGACTCCATTTCCTCGAGAATGATGCCACGTCCTGAGAGGGCTTTGTCTCCCTGGGAAGGAATCCATGTCCTTAGGGGGGCTCCACATCCCTGGGAAGGACTCCACACCCCTAGGAGGGACACCTTGGTCCTGAGGGGCTCTAGGGGCCTGCACAGGCTCCAGTCCTTAAGAAGGACTCCATGGATGCAGGAAGACTCCAGGCCTTCAGGAGTGCGCCAGGTCCCTAGAAGAGCTCCATGTCCTAAAGAAAGACACCATGTCCTCAAAAATACAACCTGTCTCTTATCCAGGGAGGGTTCCACACTCCCAGGAAGGGCTCTCTGCCCCTAGGAAGGGTTCATGTTCCCCAAGGGCCAGGCCCAAAGCCCCTCTCAGCTGGAACAGATGCTGCTGACAGTGGTCCCCCCTGGGCCCACAAGGCCCAGCTCCTCCTGCTCATTGATGCACAGCTGGTAACCGCAGCCCCGGGCCCGGGCTCCAGATGGGACCCGGTGGTCAGTCTTGGCACGTGGGGGCAGCAAGAAGCCCACACTGCCAGCGATGAGCATATGCCAAATGCTGTGAATGTAGAAGTAGTTGTCTCGGGTCTCCACAAAAGCATAGAGTAGGACAGCACTGCCTGCAATAAGGCTGCCAGGACACAGGTAGAAAAGCCAGCGGCGCCACGTGGGTGGGTAACAGTGCCGGCGGCGGACGCTGCGTACTGTCTGGGGGAAGCAGAGAAGTGGGACTCAGGAATACAAGGCCTTGGAACCCAAGCCAGAACTGGTTATTCTCAGGCTTCCCTGGAGCCCTGGTCATGACCTGAAGGCACCTGCCAAGTCTGGAGTGGGCACCACGAACAGCACAGTGATGATGACAGGGTCCAAGCCCATCTTAAACTGGGGACCAGATCCTTAGGGCCCTGCACCCAAGTCCTGTTGGGACGCCACCCTCCCGAAGCCCTCCCAACCTTACCCAGGCTGTGGCCAAGATCCCCAGGGCGAAGAGACTGGGTCCAAGCAGGTTCCAGAGTCCATGCCGGTCAAGCTGTAGAGCCATAGACAGCAGCATAGCCCCCAGCAAATACAGCACCTGGAGAAAGAAGACTCCAGGGTCTGGGCCGGGTGGGCAGGAAGCACTTGGCAATGCCCCCAGGGAGAGGTGGGGAGTGAATTTCAAGTAGACTTTGCCTACAGTTGTCCCCCAGGGCCCACTCTGGACTGACCTGCTTGACCACAGGCTGTAAACGAGCCATGGCAATGACAGTGACCCACACGGACATTAAGGAGCCCAGGAAATCACAGAACTGCAGCACATCGTAGTCCATGATGCAGAAAACCACAATGCCTGGCTGGTCACAGGCATGGTAAAACTGGAGGAAGAAATGACAGGCATTGAGAGAACTTGGGTCAACAGTCCAGGTCCATGAAACAGGAGAAAGAGGTCACGAGGGTGGTGTGCTGCTGTCAGAAAAGCAGAGGTCAGAGGTCACAGGCTGAGCATAACTGGGACATGCCTGACTCCCTGCTCCTGAGAAGAATGTGGTAGGGAAGCCTGGTCTGCCTCACAAGCCCTATGTATCTGCCAGCCCTGACCCTGTCCTTACCTTCCTGATTTTCCTGCTTATGGAATGTACTATGGAGAGCACCAGGCCAGTGGGGATTCCAGGTCCATCAAACTGAGGCCAATCTTCCCCTACTTCTCATGCTCACCATGGGTCCCACCTATAATCCCCATCCCTGGCCCAAGCTATGGGGCTAGACGCTGCTCTTTTGGCCAACCCAGACCCTAAGCCTCCCCTGCATATCCCAGTCTCCCCTGATAGCTCAGACTCTAAGTTAGGATTCATCTTCAGGCCTTACACTAACTGGCCCTCTTCATCCCCTCCCACCCAATGTCATGGGTGGAGGCGTGGGGGGGGAGGGAAGTAAGAAAAAAGGTAGTCTCTGGGCCATGGAGAAGAGCATGTCACTTTACAGCATGGAGAAGAAACTAGGGAAGGGAGAATGCCCACCTATCCTCCACTGTGGGAAAGACGGTAAAGAAGAGCTACAAAGGAGGCACAGGGGACACAGGTGGGATTGGATGAGACTATAGTGGGCACCCCAATTAAGGAACCAAGGTCTGCAGTCAGCCCCCCTTGGTCTGTGGTCCCAACTCCTGTGCCTCTCTGGACAATGCTATCATGGCCTCGAGCATCCTGTGTTCCCTTACTTGTAAAAGGGGCTACCCAAAAATGACCTGAGTTCTTTTTACCTTAGAACATTTGCTGTCACCTTTCTCTGAACTGCTGTGTAGAATTTATGTGATTTTTTTATTGATGGCAAACACTAAGAACATGTATGGTTTTAAGACTATCTTTGGTGTGAAGATGACAGGATCATGTATCCCTATGAGCCCACCCCAAGACAAGATACTGGGTAAGACCTATGAGGACAAACAACTCCAGACCAAGAACAAACATCACAGTGGCATGCTCACTCCCCCCATCACCTGATATTGCCCCTGCTCCATGTCAGGAAGAACAGACTGTTATAGTGATGAAAAAAAGAAAATTAAAATGCTATAATGGGAGAGAAAAAGTTTTTGACCTATATAAACTTGGTGAAAATCTACTCATTGGAGCTGACCTTGAGACATACCAGCAGATTTTACAGGATCAAAAAAGTTTCTTAAGATCCTGTGACTCAATCTGCTTTATCTCTGTCCCCTGCGTGTTACACCTGGTCCTTAGAGAGCCATGGCTGCTGAGGGCATCTCTTGATAGCAGGAACAAGCTGCTGGAGTTGCCACGGTTGGACTGAAGTTCATCAGACTGAACTGAAACCGGGGCAGGAAGGCTACGTGTTGTACCACCCAAACATGGCATTGGAAGTGGCTTGATGCTTGACTGAAGGGAGCCTTTAGGTACTACTTTCAGCCCAGGTCAATTTCTTCATCATTCTATTGAAAAGCAACCCTAAGTCACAAGGGCTCTGAGTCCAGAAGAGAGATGGCCTTACAGACCTCAGTGAGACAGGCAGCCCGGCGCTCCAGAGGCGTATCCTTAACTGTGGGTGGAGGGCAGGGAGATCTAGCCCACAGCGAAGGAAAGAGGTAGCTGAGCAATATCACAGGTCATTCACGTCTGGCAGCAAGGGTCTCTGTAACTTTGGGGAAGAATGGAAATGGGAGAACCTGGTCTGTTTGGATGTATTACTGTATTACTGTTGAGAATGAGAAGGTAGAGGTGAGGTCAGGAAGATGGAAAAGGAGCATTCTATCCTGAACTCAAATCACAAATCATGACACCCCAACCTTAATCAAACAGCATCCCCCTTAGAAAAAAAGCAGGTGGGAAACTGAAGCAAGTCTGTTGTGAAAACTAGCAGAATCCAGTCCAGGAGCCGAGCTGCCAATAACAGAGTGGGAAAGCAGACTCGAAAGTTCAGTCTCTAGAGACAAAGGATGAGAAAGAAATTGCTAAGTTTCTTTTGAACCTCTTGAAGAGTTTACCCAGTCATTCAAATTGCAAAATTTGTAACTTTGGAAAAGGTGAATAACGTAAGAACAGGGAGAAGCTAGGAGTTTAGAAAAAGAAAAAAAAAAGAAAAAGAAAACTTAGGGATATTAATTGGCATTGGGAAACCTTGGGTTTGAGTCCTTCAAATTTTAAAGTCTTAAGCTTGTGTACCTATCCTCTGTCTTTCCCTTCACTTTGGAGGTAAAGAATGCTGTCCCTTCAGGAAGAGACTGCTTTGGAATGATCAGGTTTTGAGTACTCCAAGCTTCTGAAAGGGCTTGCAAGTTTAGCAACCATGGCTCCCTCTTACATATTATTAAATTGAGAAAGTAAGCTCTTACTGGGAAACTGAGAGACCTTTCATGGGAGTTCACATCTGCATTAGAATTAGTATCTGAACACACCTAAAAGATTGATTTTTTTCAATTCTTTCTTTCTCTTGTATGTGCTGATCAATTGATGGAGTTAATTTAGTTTCTAGGCAAATCAGTATTTTGGTCTTTTGCTATTTTAGCTATTGGATATTGACTATCCTCTACGTCTAAAATCAGATATAAGTACTATAGCTACTAAATTACCCATTACTATTTTCTGATTTGGATTTCATTTTGTTTAAAGATTTTATTTATTTATTTGACAGAGAGAGAGAGAGCGAGAACAGGAACACAAGCAGGGGGAGCGGGAGAGGGAGAAGCAGGCTTCCCGCTGAGCAGGGAGCCTGATGTGGGGCTCGATCCCAGGACCCTGGGATCATGACCTGAGCCGAAGGCAGACACTTAACGACTGAGCCACCCAGGCGCCCCTTGGATTTTATTTTAAAACATTAATTTTACATTTCAGCCTTCACCAAGCTTGCTCCATCTGCCTGACTTTCAAGTATATAAAAGGAAATGTCCAAACATTTCTGGAAGAGGGACTTGTAATAAATCCTTCAATCTCAGATAAGAGAAGATCTATATCAGAAAAAAAGCAAAGCTAAATCACCTAATATTGAAGACACATATAAGGGAATAATTAATTGAAGGCTGATTGTCCTCCTAGGAATTTCTCTGCAATGAAAAAAGAGCAGGGGATAATGGAGAGATTGTCCCTGGAATAGAGAGGTTTGGGGAGAAATCACTGCACTAGTATTCTATGACTGATTATTGTCTAAGCATACTAAAAGGTCAGAGAGATTTTTAAGGTTGTAGAAAACCTACAGGAGTAGAGTTAAGTTAAAATTGCAGTGTGAGGGGGTGCCTGGGTGGCTCAGATGGTTAAGCGTCTGCCTTCGGCTCAGGTCATGATCCCGGGGTCCTGGGATCGAGTCCCGCATCGGGCTCCCTGCTAGGCGGGGAGCCTGCTTCTCTCTCTGCCTCTGCCTCTCTCTCTCTCTGACTCTCATGAATAAATAAATTAAAAAAAATATTAAAAAAAAAATTGCAGTGTGAGGTGAACAAGATGATGGACCTTTCACCAATCCTGATGTGGCTATGGTCGTTGCTGAATGTCTAAAAACATCACTGGTGAAGTCCACCACTGACTCCTTCATGGGGCTCAATCCACTAGGGAAACCAACCAACAACCTGTGTCAGCTGACTTCACTGAAACTTCTCAACCTGGAGAAGACAGCATCTTGTCATCATATATTCTGGGTATATATTTGTCCCTTCTACCTGCAGTGCTTCCTCCTGCTTTATTATTCATGGAGCAGAATCCACTCTCCATTGCCACGGCACCCCACTCATTACCACCTTTAACCAGGAGATACAACTGACAGTAAACAAAGTAAAGCAAATCACTCACCACCATAGAATTCACTGGTGTAAACACACTGCCCAACACCTAGGAGCAACCAGCGGAAGGAAACACTGGAATGGCCTACTGAAGGCTCAGTTATGGTGTCACCTGGGAGACTCTACTCTGTAATACAGTCTGTAATACTCTCCTATATGTTTGGTGCACAGTGTGTGCCAAATATATAGAAGAGTAAGCTTACCAAAGCTAAAGTAAGCTTTAGTCATCTCATACTTTATGCCATGTATGCTCATGAGAGAACATCCCTACACTAATAAACTTTCCTCCATGCAGAAGCAAAGACAGAAACTTGCAACATTATCGATCCACTGAAAATTATGGGCTGATTTTTACATTGGTATTCCTTTTGTCAACAGAAATAAAAAGAAGTGATAGAAATAACACAAAGATTGGGAAATTTAAAAAAACAAATTTAGACTACAAACTGGCTTCTGTTAATATAATTTTAATCTAATTTGACACCTCCCTCAGCTTTGGACATTTATGAGGTAATTTTTTTAAAATTAACCTAAATTGTTTTCTGTGAGATTTCATAGTTTTATAACATAACTATATAGTTCATCTAATGCTTCAAAATGGAGTATCCAGGCACTACAGAATGTAAAACTAGAAATGCAAATACATTCAATCCACGCAGTGGCTGGAATATTTGCACTCAGGATATAATGGAATTTATGGCTATTTCCTTATTATCTGCCTCCATTTCCTCTTGGAAACAGTCATGGGATATTGCCAGGGGCCACTAAGAATTACTTGCAAGGTGTGCTTGTAGCCAGGATGTTAGCAATCAGTGAGAAAGGCCCCGTGGGGCCCCAGGACGTCAGCTCGTGGGAACGGATTATGAGGCTTCAACTAGCACTGGGAAGGATTCACGGCTTGAACTGTATGGGTTAGAGCTGTAAAACTGCAATGTTTGATAGATTTCCCTTGATGACTTCCTGCATTTTGTTATATTTTTTGATCTTTTGATTGGCTCTTCTTATCTTTTAAGAATTTGAGAACTATTTTTAAAGAAGAATGTGAGAACTATTAAACTGAGGTCATAAGTTTCTCTACAGACTCCAGGACTTCTGAGAAACTGACGTCAGGTTGGAAATTTACCAACGTGTCCTCTCTGCTCTGGTAGGAGGAGACAATATAGCTTAGTGATTACATGTAAGGAACCTAGAGTCAGGCTGCACGAGAATTCTGGTTCTACCACTCACATTACACCTCAAAGTATTTAAACTGCCCTCATCTGCAAAAAGGGATGATGATGATGATGATGATGATATAAGTACCTATCTATTGCTCTAGGGGTATTGTGAGGACTCAATTTGCAGTGTCTGACACACTAGATGTTATTTTGCTGTTTCCATGATCTGAACTGGTCTGGCTATACACAAAATCAAGTGCTGGATTTGTGACCTGTTTTTCTTTTAACATATTTTACATATTATGCAACATATTTTGCATTTTAAATATTTTACACTCTAAACTCTTGAAGAACAAACCTACTGCCTGCTCCCATGCCCTGGATAGGAATCGATGCACCACTCCAGCTGTAGACTGTCCTGGCTTTGAAGACAGGGAAGAAGACTGTCATCTACGCCCTGGTACTGTTACCTGCAGTATGACCAGTGGGTCCTTAAATGGAGACTGTTGAGGAATGAAGTAAGTCTAAACTAAGTAAAGAATCAGAAAGGAAGAGCAATGGGGAACCTGCCCAGGAAAACTGGATGACCAGTAGCTCTACATTTTGGCCCATGTGCAAAAAGAAGAGGAGTTAGAGCAAGACTTCAGGCAATACCGCAGAGCCAGCATCTTTTCCTTGATCTTTTGATTATCCTATTCTTTTTCTTAAGTTAGCTCCACACCCGGGCGCCTGGGTGGCTCAGTTGGTTAAGCGACTGCCTTCAGCTCAGGTCATGATCCTGGAGTTCCGGGATCGAGTCCCACGTCGGGCTCCCTGCTCAGCAGGGAGTCTGCCTCTCTCTCTGACCCTCCCCCCTCTCATGCTCTCTATCTCATTCTCTCTCTCAAATAAATAAATAAAATCTTTAAAAAAAAAAAAAAGTTAGCTCCACACCCAACATGGGGCTTGAACTCACAAGCCCAAGATTAAGAGTCGCATGCTCTACTGACTAAGCCAGCCAGGCGCTCTGCTTATTATCCTCGTTAAGAAAGTGGAAGCTCTGTATGTGACGTCAGCCACTGTAGCCCGCTCCTCTGGTGTTCCAACTGGGGAAAAGGTCTTTTCTTTCAAGGACGGTTTGCCGTTGTATCCAGAATATAAGGAGTCATCTGGTACTAAACACTCTAGAGCCAACATCCAGGATGCTTGTGCAAAGTGCAGGAGAACGAACATACTCTCCCCACATGTTCCAGGCTCCTGATACACTTAGGTACTGTTACTGATTGTGACTCCTATTAGATCTGCATGCAGCCAAGAGTAGGCTGGTGGAGCAGCTGTTGCTAGAGGATTTGGTGAGCCACAGTATAAAGGGCATCTGGCAGTTAAAAAAAAAAAAGGAGAGAGAGAGAGAGAAACAGTGTCTGCTATAAAAATAGAATGAAGCACTGTCAAAGCAGGTCTAAAAAAGGGGGCAGCCAAGCAAAATTAGAGTGTGCTCTTCTCACCCAGCTAAAGAGAAGGTCTCTCTACACAGCATGGTTCTAGCCTCCTCTTCCTCACCTGTGCATGAACATCCTGGAGGACCTGACAACATGCCCCTCAGTTTCAGAGCATTCACCCCCCTCCACTTTCTGCTAAATGATAAGTAGGATTTTTGTAATTTGGACATATGTCTGATCCATTAATGCTGAACAAAAGGGAAGCACATATTGGTTTTTGTGATATTCTTGTTGCCAAGACATGAAGAAAGTCTGAGTCCATCTAAGATTTTTGCAGGGCTCATAGGCAGGCACTGTATGTCATGAGATGCCAAGAGCCCAGAGATGAGCTGAAAAGATCCCTAGATGCAGCATCTCAAGGGGAGACTCTACACAGGGGTTAAGTCACATTAGCAGACTCACTCCTCTACCTTTTCCTTATACTATTTATGAAGCTTGCTGGTTAATATGAACTTTTTATGATTATGGAGGAGTGGGAAAATACAGAGAAGGGACTGTGGACATTCTGTAATGGGAAGGGAAGAATTTAAAACTATATTAAGCTTCATTAAAATATGTTCCTTTGAGCTGGAATTTTATATCACACTGCCACTTCCCATGTTGTCTCAGGACATAGTTGAGTCCATAAAATGTCTTAGGATCCCAAGAGCCAGAATGTTCTATAAATTACCCAGTTATAGAGAGCCTCTCTGTCTTCCAAAAGTCCCCATAAGAAATCAAGGAGGCCATGGTGACTGAATGGGGAGACACCTTTTCATACCATAAGAAAGAAGAAGCTAAAGATACAGAAATGCCCAGTACAATGAAGAACATGGGCACAGTATAGCTAGCCCTCACATCATGAGAGATGAAAGTGGAGACTCCATATAGAGACACGGGAGAAAGTACAGATCTCTTGTCACCATAAGGAGGAGAAAAGGGGAAGTTGTAGACACCATTCCATACTGTAGGACAGCCAGTATATTGAGGTAAAGGTCCCCGTGGCCCTCAGTGTGTGAGACAGCCGGAGACCACACACTATTTCAAGCGGCTGTTGCTTATCTTAAGTTACAAACAGCCCTGTTCATTTAGCCTGATGTGCCTTACAAAAATTACCATATTCCAGGCGTGCCGTGACCCTGCTGTAGAAGACATTGTGAGGAGGGAGACATCCTCATGTAATGAAGGCATAGACATCCCCAAACCCGTGGAAAACACGGTGGAAATGCAGACCCTCACCCATCACCATAAGGACTCGGTGAAGACACAGATGCACCGCATACCGTGGAGAAGAACATGGTGAAGGTGTAGACAGCAGCTTCCAGCACATATCGGCTCCGAATGGCCAGGACCACGGGTGGCAAAAACATGAGGTTGCTCAGGCAGAGCAGTAGCGTAGACAGCAGCTGGAATCCATAGGTGAGCGCATCGGCACTGTCGGTGCAGCCCCAGCCCCTCCACCCTGCGAGTGGGGAGGGCACAAGGTGGAAGGTGGAAGAGGGCCCAAGGCAGCCACAGGTTCGTCACTCCTGCTGGCGGCCTCTCGCCAGGCCCTAGACATTGCCAGGGAAGGGTGGTCTCCGCCCTCCCATTCTCTCCAAACCCATCCTCAATTCAAGGTGCCTCCGCCCGTCCAGGCCGCCCCTCCAACCCAGGAAGCCCGCCCACGGCTCCCTCACCAGCCCAGCCCGCTCACCGGCCTTGCACTCGCAGGCCGCGTACAGGTAGTTGTGCGTGCGCAGCAGCTTGCACTGGCCGTAGGGCCCGCAGTCGTCCACGCAGGGGGAGAGGAAAGTGCGCAGCCGCACCTCGGCCGTCGCGTTCCGGCACCGCACGTACCTGCGCGCACACACACCGGGCCGTCAGCGGGGTCCCAAGCCGCTCCTTCCCCAGCCCGGCCCCGCCCGGCCCCGCCCCGCTCACCGAGGCCCCACCCCGCACAGGGAGCGCAGGGTCAGGAACCAGGTCCCAGTCTGTGGGAAAGGGATTCGCAGCCTGGCCACTCTGGAAGTGGCACTGACGGACAGGAGGAAGCCAGCCAGGGACTCTTAGGGGAGAAGGGAGAAGAGGGGGTATCAGCGAGAGGGAGGAGGAGTCAGTGTGGGGTCAAGACCTAAAGAACCTTCACCCACCTGACCACACTTCCCTAGCCCATCCTTCCTCCATACCATCCCCCACCGGCCCCAGCCCCAGAGTTAAAGCCTCCTCTGCTTCCCCCATTCCTCACCCCCACCTTTAGAACAGGTCACCGCTGCATCCCCCAGGCTCAAGGGCACCTCGTGAGTCAGGCATCCAAACACCGTCACATTCTCCTGGAGCAGGGAGCTCTGCGAGGGCAAGTATGAAAACGAAGAGGTCACACCCTGCAGACCCTACCACCACCCCACCGCCCCCAGACTCCTATACCTGTTAACACCTCTCCAGAAACCCCTCCGGGAGCTCACTGAACATCCCATTCCTGCAGGTTCTCTCCACACCAAAGCCTGCCTTTCTCTTTCTCCCTCTTTCTCTTTCTCTGTCCTTCTCTCTCTTTTCTTCCTTTCTCACCCCTATTCTTAGAACAGAAAAACTGGAGAACACCAGATCCTCCACAGCAGAGATCTTTCAAAGACTGACGAGAAGGCAAGGCCCAGTTCTGAACATTGTCATTGAGCAGAATTGTTTAAACTCTGTCCAGACAAGAGAGAACACCCTGTTTCAGTCCCATCTAGCTTACTGAGGGGGGAGTGAGAGGGGGGCTGTTGCTGGATGTAGAAACTAGTTGTGAACAAAGGAAACTGTAAGGTTTTCAATATCTTCACTTGGGTCTGAAGGCAGGAGGAGTGTAAAGAAATGTACTCTTCCCCAGGTAAAATGATCCTAGGTACTGAACAGCGGTAATAGAACACCTCGGGGGTTAGTGTATCAACCTGTCTGGGATTTAAAGAAACCAGATATCCACAGGAGTAAATGTAAGGAGTGTCTACAAGAATAAAAGTAACAGAATGCCATAAGCTCACCTCATTCAAAAAGGATTTGAGGTAGCTTATTAAATGCATATAATAGGATAAAATAAATGCATGAGGGAAATTTAAAAATCAAGATAAAAAAATAAAGTCTGTCCTTAGATGTGAGCCATATATTTGATGCTAACTTCCAAGCAACCAAAGCAAAAAAAGGAAACATAATGAGTTACCAGATTTTATCTTACGAGTCCATAAGATAAAATTTAATTAGAGTCTCAAGAGAAGCACAGCATCCAAACCGGTGGTTCTCAGGAAAATTCTCATCAAAGAAGCACTGTGTTCTGTCATGCATCCTGTCCTCAACCACAAGAGTGAATTTCATACAACTTGTTTATAACTTCCCTCAATGCAAGCCAGGGTAATATACCCAAGTATTATACCATAAAAGTCATTCTAGTTGGAAGCCAAAGGGGGGGAAATGTCCTCTAGGTATGCAGTTCTCTGATCCAAATGTTCAGTTCTTGATTCCAAGGGGAAAAATCAAAATACTCGGAGGGAAAAATCAGAGTAGATGAGCCAATATATCTTTCAGAATAAATATAATAGGCTGTTTGAGGTGTGTAACAAGTGTCATGGCATGCAGATGGGTGTAATATATGCAGATGAATGCACAAAGGGACAGGGTGAGAGGTTGCAGGGAGGTTGGGCCTCTACTCTCAAGATACTGAGGAAGAACAAGTATGGGTCTTACTGGTCTCTGAAACAGGCTCTATAGTTTCAAGGTCAAATCAAGACTTCACTGTCACGGCCCAAAGGCAATAAGAGTCACAGAGAATTTAAGTATGAAAATAAGGAATGTCTTTGGGCTTAAGAATCTGATCTGTCCTGACCAGCAGGAGGACTAAAAAGTTCTGAGCCATGTCCTACAAAAGACCACATCTAGCCACAGACCAGGTCTCAGGTTGGCTGGTAGGGAAATGGTGCCTGCTCCCCAGAGCTGGGGAATAGTACATAAATTATTGGATCAATGTCAATTTAAGACAGTCACTAATGGCCTGACACAGGGCTCTGCCCTAAGCCCAGTCTTATTTAATGCTGAAAATAATAACTAAGAGGTACAGAAGGCTGGCTTTTCAAGTGTGAATTACATAAAGCAGGGAAGACCCAAGACCCAAACTAGTACTAGGCAATGCCTCAAAGATGGACATGAATTCTTTCACTGAAGTTAAAAAGTTCACTGCAAAAATACGAGGTGGGAATTGGCAGGAGTTCACATGAACCAGCTCAGGGCACAAAAATGTGTGCGTCCCTTAGTGACGAGTAGATAAACATAGAAGTTAATGTGAGGGGCGCTTGGGTGGCTCAGTCGTTAAGCGTCTGCCTTCGGCTCGGGTCATGATCCCAGGGTCCTGGGATCGGGCCCTGCATCGGGCTCCCTGCTTGGCGGGAAGCCTGCTTCTCCCCCTGCACTCCCCCTGCTTGTGTTCCCTCTCTCGCTGTGTCTCTCTCTTCAAATAAATAAATAAAATCTTTAAAAAAAAAAAAAGAAGTTAATGTGAAAAAGGACTGAGAAGACACACAGTTTTAGGTCTTCTTCAATTTTCCAAAGTTTTTACATGTGGTCCTATTACTCTTATAATAAAAAAGTAAGTGTACACAACTGGTTTGAAAAAAAGGAAAAGACTCCTAAATCTTAGTTCACCACAACCCCAGGTGATCCCCCAGTGTGATGTGGCAGCTCAAAGAGGGAACCTGACCTCAGGCTGCACAAACACCACCTGCCACGCTGGTCAGACCCCCTTGGATCACTTATCTCAGAGACACTAGGACCAGAGGAGACAGCAGAGGATGGGGAGAGGTCTAAGATGCTGAGGTTGTTCAGCTTTGGGGAGATGAGGGGCATCTGAAGGACTACTTAACAGGATAGGAATGTAACAACTGTACCACACAGAAGATGTAATATAACAGGGGAAACTGTGCAGGGAAAGAGGGGGGATAGGGGAACTCCCTGTACTTTCTGCCCAATTTTTCTGTAAGCTTAAAACTGCTCTGAAAAAATCAAGTCTATTAATTTAAAAAAAGAAAAGAAAAAAAAGGACAAGGATAGATTTACTGGATATAGCTTCCGGGGCAAAACAAAGATTGGTGGGTAGAAATCCTGGAGGCAGATTTTCATGGAATGTCACGACTTCCTTTAGCAATCAGAGCTGTCTAAATATGGACCGCATGGCCTCAAGAGGTGGTGAACTCCCCATCACAGAAGATATGCAAGAAAAGTGAACACCTGCCATAGAAGCCCTTGGGAAGTAGAAGGTTAGCCTATAAAACTGGGATAACTTAGCCCACTGTGAGTCGCCCTGGCTGACCTAGCCCTATCTGTAGTAGAGTCAACATTCAGGGGAATGTCTGTATGTTTATTGATCAGACTTGGGCTGAGGCATTGTCCCTAATCGTAAAGTGGGCCCAAAGCAACCCTGACATCTTCTCCTTCAAGCTCCCCTCCAGGGCAACCCCCCCCCGCCTCCCCGTTTTCCACCAAGAGTACCACATTGAGCTGGAGCTCCAGGCTGAGGACGCCTCCACTGTCCAGCACTGGCAGCAGCCTCAGGGCAAACACTGCGGGGCGCTCAGGGGGCAGGGCCACGCTGGGGCCAAAGAAGATGTAGAAGTGGACAGAGAAGGTGTCCAGCTCATTGCGCAGTGTCGGGCGCACTGGCCAGCAGTGCTCTGGTGGGGATGTGGCCCCAGGCCCCTCCGCAGAAGCCCCCAGGGATGGCGGCTCTGGGGGCAGTGGCTGGTTGCCCAGTGACTGGGGCATGTTCATGGCAGCTCCAGGGACGAGGACACGGGACAGGCTGGGCTGTGGGCACTCTGTGGGCAGAGGAAATCAGTGCTGGGGACTGCCGCCCTCACAAGCCCAGCAGCCCCACCACAAACCAGACTGAGCCAGACAGGAATTAGCAAAGAGTAGGGAGGGATGAGAACTAGAATCAAATGTCCTTTGGATGTATGGGGCATCCAGGGTCACAAGATAGGGCCCAGGGGGTTCCTAGTGGTCACAACCAACGGAATGTCATGTGGAGGGAATCAAGGTCATCTCTCCCTCCCCAAGGACAGTGAAGACACTGTAGAAACAGATGATGGGCTCTCTCACTGATTTGCATGGGCTTTGGCAAGGACAGTGTCCCAGAGGTTTTAGATGCCCCTGCCTACCCCCAGGAAACTGAACGAGATTAAATCAAGGACAGTAATGAGGTCCCTTAGTTAGCCCCAGTCAAATGCAAAAAATTATCTAAAGGCCTTCCAATGAATCGAAGCTTCAAGTGGAAGGGCTTTTGGGAGTGTGAAGGAGCCTGGGGGGTTAGGGAGATTATAGGGCCATGGCAGAGGGTCAGTTGAACACAACCACCATGGCTGCCTCTTCCCAGCCACAGATGTCGGCACAGGCTGAGTGGCCAAGGCAGATGTGGGGCTTCTGACCTTGCAACCGCACACAGAGCTGGAAGCGGATGGTCCTGCCAGGACCCCGGGATGGGATCTCCACACGCACGTAGACCCAGTGCCCCCAGGGGGGCAGTGCCAGCTCCAGCTGGCACACCGAGGCACCTCCACAGGACAAAGAGCTTGAGTTGTGCAGGGGTGGGGCCTTGGGGCGCAGGCGCAACGTCAGGGGGCAGGCTGATGCCCCGCGGCTCCCCACACACGCCAGCTGTGCTGAAACCCTGTAAGTAAAGCTGGGCACAAAGACCCTGGGCAGAGGGGAGGTTGGGGGTAAGAAAGGACAGGCGAGAGGCTGAGAGGGACACCAGACTGAGGCAAACACTCAGGAAGAAGGCGACATGGAGGGACAGGGGAAACAGGAGAACAGGAGGCCTTTTTGCTTCCTCCCCTCTGTGCCGGGAGAGAGGGAGGCAGGGGTCCAACCCCCCCTGGGGGCTCTGGGTGGCCCCGTAGCCCAGGTTGGCCAGTGGAAAAGTAGGAACAGGTAGACAGGCTGAGAAGCCAAAAGAACCCTGTTCCCTGTTTGAAGCCAAGGAAGGAAGAGGGAAAGGGTCAGGTTTGGGGGAGTATTCGACTTACTTGTACAGGGCTGAGCGATTGTGGGCCGAGAGGGTTTGCTCTGAGGGACGGCCAGGCACCAGCACAGCAACGTCCAGCAAACGCCGGACAATCAGCTGTGGTTGAAGGAGGTACTGACACTCATCCTGGAGACCCTGAGACAAAAGCAGGAGTGGTGGGAGGAGAGACAGCAAGGGCGCCACTAAAGCAAGGCAAACAGAATCTGCCGAAGGGTGGGGGACAAAGCTCCCAGGGCTAGGACTGAGGTCTCTCTAAGCTCCGGGTCCCTCCTGCCTGGTCTCCACTTCTGTCTTTCTAGGTGCATAGGATCTACTCCGATCCTCCGCACTGGCTGACGTCTGGGGACTCGAAGCCACGCCCCCCAGGCAATCAGGCCTGCACCTCCTCCACTCTAACCCCTCCCCCTGGACACTCCCAGACAGCCCCTCGAGGTAATTTCAAAACACCCCGTTTCCCCTCCAAGCCCTCAAGAACTTAGAACACTGGCTCTCTTTTGGGGTTAGAAAGCTCCCTGAGGCCTCTAGTCCAAACCAACCCAGCCTTCCTAATCTGAATCTTTCCTTTATTCCCTACTCGGCCCTCCCAAGTGTTTGTCCAGCCTCTGCATTAACAACCCCCGGGGAAGGGCCACTCTACCTTCTAGGCAATCTCCAGACTGTAGGCTACTTGAAAACAGGAACCTTGTCTTATTTTATTTTTGCTCCCCAAGACATGAAGCCTAATCATGCCTCACAGATGAACGTCGGCTGAATAAATGAATGAATAAACGAATCAACACAGCTGTGGGCAGCTCTGATGTTTATGAAGCCAGAGCCTGTTTTCTGTCTCCCCTCCCACTGCTCTGCCTCAGGGGACCCACAGATACATCTGCTCCTTCTGAATCAAGCTGGGTTTCTTCCATTACTGGACGCGACAGCCACATCTAAGCTGCTCTTCTGGGTGAGATCCCTGACCCTTGTCGACTGAGTTAGCACTGCCCTGGCACGCACAGCCTCCTCACTCCTCTATGGGCACAGTCCCTTCTGGCCCCTCCTCTGCAGCATCTGCAGCTACCTAAGCCCTCTGATCCCAGCAGGTCAGAGGAGGACAGGGCTCCTGATGAGGCTTCTCAGTTCTTCTGGACAAATGGCCTTACGCTGGCCCGAGAAACTGAAGGCCACTGTTTACTTATGTGGTTATTCTGACCGAGACAAACCTCTAAACCTCATTCTGACAGAAGTTCCAGGCTCTGACATCCCTCTGGGTTCCATACCGTGGAACGAGCCAGCCAAGGCACAGACTTCCAGCAAAGCTCCCCAAGGCTGGAAGCAGGGAGGCCTTGATGAGGCCAGGCCAAAGACCTCACTACCCTCTGCCTGGAATTCTTCTGTGCCTTTTGCACCACTGCATCCCCAATGCCCAGCACACTACATGGCAAATACTAGGCACTAAGAAAATATCTGTTCAGTTAAAGAGTGGGTGACAAAAAGAGGGTCCTTTCAGAGAGCTCTTCAACCTACCTAGTTGCTCGAAGACCTCCATCTCTGATACCCAAAGCAGATGTCCTTCATTTTTGGTGTCAAACCCTAAGGACCAGAAGTACTACCACAAGTCATCTCATCACCCCACTTCCTACGGGAGCAGTCACCACCACAATAACCTTGCAGTAAGCGAGCCCCAAAGGTGGGGGCTCACACGCAGGAGGTGGCCCATTTCCTTGCTGGATGGACAATCCAGGGGCAAGAAACACTTTGCTCTACATCTTTCTTGTTGTTGGCTTACTGAAGGATCAATGGACATGACCTCAATGGTTAAAATGTGCTCCTTCCTTAAACTGTATAAAGCGCACATCCCTTACTGCGGAGGGAAGCATTCAATCAGTGGAGAGCAGGGAAGGTACAGAGATGCAGCAGCCTTCACCCTTGACAGGGCCAGAGAAAGGGCGCCAGAAGCCAGGTCTTCAGGAGCTGCCAAGGCATAAGCCAAGTGAGAGAGTCCAAACTGAGCCAACATCAGCAGTCATGTAAGGAATGGGGTCAAAGCAAGGACACTTGAGAAACCAGGAGGGCCAAAGTGAAAAGTAAAGTGGGAACTAGTCTGAAAGGAGCTAGGGAGGAAGGCCTTTGACTGAACCCCAGACTGTCCTCAGCAAGGCTGAGTTTCCTGTGGAAGGCCTCAGCAGGGTGGCCAGTGCCAGACTCTGGATAGGGCTTATGGACTAAGATGCCCAAAGACGCTTGCCCTTCCCTGTAGGAATATCCCAATACCCAGGACAGCCCCTGGCCCACAGTCAGTCAGCACCAATCAACACAGAAGAGTGCTGGACAGCCTGCAGGGGGCAAGAGTGCAAGCAGAGAGATGACTGGTGGCCCTGGAGAAAGCTCAGGGAAGGTTTGCTCAGAATGGAAAGAGAGAAGCAGATGCATTCAGAGCATACTTTAGAAGTAGAATCAACAAGACCTTTTCTTTACGGACTAGCTATAGAGAAATAAAGGGAAAAGAAGAATCAAGTATGACACCTAAATTGGGGGCTTGAGCAAATGGAGAATGGCAGTGCCACTGACTGAGAAGAAGACTAGAGAGAAGAGGCTTGGGCTGGGAGAAGTAAAATGAGAATCAATGAGATTTTCACTTTGGGCTCTGCTTTGATTTGTACATGCTAAGTTTGAGACATTTCTTGGACATCCAATCAGAGATACCAAGCCGTTAAATATAAAGTCTGAGATTTAAAGAAATTAGGACTCATGGAATGAATACACTTGGAAAACATAACTTATAGGTGGTATTTAAAACTGGAGACACCTAGCAAGAGAATGGAGAAATAAAAAGGAATAAAAGGAACTGTCTCAGGACCAAATATTGGGGCCCCACAAAATGCACCAAACAGAGGAGACACCAAGAAAGGAGACAGAGAAGGAGTGGTGGGTAGGAGGAAAATCAGGACAGTTCTATAAAGTCATAAAGGCCACAAGGAGAAAGTGTTTTAAGAAGGAAAGAGTAATAGAAGGAACTCGTTAATAGCTAGTTACTACTTAACTCTGGAGAGAGGAAGTAGGGACTGGAAGGAGTGAAGGGAAGAGGAAGACTTACTTTTCACTGTATGCCTTTTGTACCTTTCGAATGCTGTACCACGTGCATATATTACCTATTCGAGACACAAATATAATAATTTAGAAGGAGGAGGAAGAGCAGAATGAGCACTGTTAGCAGATTTTAATCTCTTCAAGTTGAGATACAGAGCTATACTTGGTCTGGTTGATGGATTCAGTCGGATCCTTTCTTCCCTACCATCTGCTTCTTTGCTTTCCTTATCCTTGTTTTCATTACTTTACCTGCTTTCATTTACTTTCAAATCTTGGAGCTGGAAAGAGGAAGCATTTGAGGAGAACTCTGCTCCAGAAATTTGGAAAACTTTCCCCTAATGAGCCAGGTGGTACCAGATGTTACCTATAATCCAAAGGTCAGTCCCTCAGGGCAGACTGGGCACCACAGAATGAACACATGCTCCAAGACAGGGAGGGCAAGGCAATGGAGAACATGGGTCAAGACAGAAGAGGTTGACAAGGAAAAGGGGAAAAGGAAAGGAGAAGTGAGATCAGTTTGGGACCCTATGAATTTGAGAAGATAGCAGAAGAACAATGAAAATTGGCCATGCCGCCGCTGTGTGCCAGGCTCTGTGCCAGGTGCTAGGAATACAGTAGCCAGTGGCACAGACACAGGAGCTTGCAGACGTGTGCGACCAGAGCGCAGGAGAACGGCATGGATCAGGTAAGTCACTGCCCTTCTACAACCTCTTAAAGGTCCCAATCACTCTCAGGATAAAGTTCAAACTTCTAGGTCCTTCGTGATCTGGCCTCTGCTCACCCGCCCAGCTCCCTTACCCAGTCCAACAAGCACTCCACACTGAACCGCTTCAGTTCTCCCCTCTGCGCCTTAGCCCATGCTACTCCCACCACCTGGAATGGCTTCCCTTGCTTTTTCAACATCAGGCCTCCCTTCCTGTTTCCTAAAACCACCTCTACCATATTACCAGACTGAGTTAGCCATCTCTCCTTTGTCCTCTTAAAACATCTCCTGTATCTCACTAATATACATCTTATTTATCTGTGTCCCTCACACCCAAGGTCTGGGACAAAGCAGGTGCCCAAGGACTAAGGTCTAAAGGGAGGTCTGAGCTCATCCCCAAAGCTGAGGAGGGCCGTAGAAACAGTGCTGCCTTCTTATGGTTGGGACTCTTCAGTCCCCACCTGAGGCCAAGCCTCACAGGAAGTCAGGACAGCAGTATGAGGAGAAAGTAAGTCAAGAAGATGGAGCCCTGGAGGAATGCTCTGGACAATTAATTCACAGGCTGGAGTCTAGGGAATTAACCAGAGAAGAAGAATCCTTAGAGGCCCATATAAGATTCCAAAAGATAATCAAATTCTTAGAGAAACCACAAGGATGATTTCTTGCCCGTCCCTCACCCCCAAGCCTCTAGAAGACGCCTTAACTAAAGATCTATATCTCTCATGGTATTCAGGCCTGCTGTCATTCATGGGCAAGGTGTAACAGTGTCCCCTTGTCTCTGATATCGCCATACCTCAGGAGTTCTGCCAGTTAGCCCTCCAGCTTGCAGTTCCGAGTCCCCAGACCCCACTTGCTATATCTAGATGCAAATGGCTACGTCAAGGCTGGTTCTGACCTCTCCTCACCAGGCCCCCAGTTCCTCCTACTCAACCAGAAAAGTTTCTGGATGACTAGAGCAGGGCTTCAGAAAGATTTTCCCTGTCAGTTCTCACAAAGAGAATCAAGGATCGAAGTTACAATCAGGAATGTGCTCTTTGGGATTTGGCCAAAGACCTAAGGCATTCCTTGGAATAGAATAACCCCTAGTTCTGATGAGAGTCAAGATCTACCTAGAACCCAGAGCCATTTCCAGGTGAGCTCCCAACATGCTGTCATCCACAGGGCTCCCAGGCCTTGACAGGAAATTCTCTGGTACAACCCTCTCAGGAAAGATAGGCCTATCACTGAGGCCTCAAGTTGCTTTCTCAGCCATAGTTCCCATCGCTGACAACAGCAGACCAGTGCACCTGTCCCTGTACAATTCTCAACTCATTCAGAAGCATCATAACACCTTCTCTGAGCACTGCGCTATAGCAGGAGGAGGAGAGGTGAGTCTGGCGTGGACAAAGAGCCACTGCCCTCAAGGAACTCAGCCTGGAGAGATACAGCTGAGTCAAATCTTCCCAACTGGAAATTTCTCAATGGCCAAGTCCCACTAGCTTTCGTGTTCCTCAGCATCCTGTTCTTTAAATCCTTGCTCTGCTTATGCTCAGTCCTTCACCCTTACCACTGGCCCCACACATGTGGCCATCCCACTCTGCCAAGGGCCAGCTTATCATACCCTCCCTTCCTGCCAATGGACAAGAGTAAGAAACCTATAGATCCTCTCACTACAAGGAGGATATCTGGCCTGTACCTGGGAGGGGCAGGAAAACTTTGTGGCATTTCTTTCCCCTCCAAATCAGAATGGAGAAGCATACTGACCTTTGAACCTACACTTCAGACTTTAAAAACCTCTGTTCTATGAAATCAGAGCTGACATTTGGAGAAAAGGAAGCAACAGTTGGGATGGACACCAGCTGCCCAAGGCCTCCTTTTAACAGGAAAGGGCTTCCCTGCCCCCAAGTGTTCTCCTATGGACTTCCAGAGGGTGTAGGGAGCTGAAATTATGATAGAAGAGGAAAGTTTTCTCCCAGATGGACCAACAACTGGGCTGGAGCCTATGAGAGTCTGCAGGGCTATCACCAATCAAGATGTAGAATAAGACCAGTCTTGGGTTTGTGCAGCAGCATATGACCAGTCCGTGGCTGGCTTCTGATCACCTTGAATAACCCTCACACCTTCTAACAGGGACACTACTCCACAGTGCCAGGGCCTCTGACCGATTCCAGACTCTGCACTTTCCCTTCAGCTACCTGCACCCACTATGTCCTCCTAAGGCTCCCAAATTGCCTCCTACAGATCATGACCTCTGGCCCACCTGCCGGCCTCTAGCTACACCCCACCCTCGCCACCCTTATGCTGTTGCCCACCCTGGAACAAGGCTGGTATGCCAGGTAGCCTGAGGGGGATTCTGCAGGCATGGAGAAGCAGCTTTGGCCCCTCCTACCCTGGGCAGCATCAACCCACCTTGACAGAGATGTGGCCATGGGCCTGGGGAAGGTGGGCAGCCAAGAACCAGTCCCCAGGTAAGGGGCTGCTGACGTTAAAGATGCCTGAGGTGCGGTTGGGCAGTGTCCAGCTGAGGGTCAGTGAGAAAACCCCAGGCACAGCCGTGTCCCCTGGGAAATGTGTGTGCAGGGGATTGATGACAGGGGGTGCCCCGGACCGGAAATACCTGGGGGACCAGAACGAGGAGAGGAAGACAACAGGCAATGGGGTGGGAGATGGGAAATGGGGAAAAGAAAGAACTGTCACTCATCACCAATAACACAAGTGAATTCCCTATACTGATAGATACAGCAAAGTGGTTCCAGGTCAGGAGTCAGGGCATAAAGAATAAGTCAGCTCAGGCTCTCACACAGTCAAACAGGAGTCAGGAGCCAGAGGTCCCTCACTTAGTCATACTTCAATCTGGACATAGGTGAGGGGTTGGGTCAGTTTAGATACTCATACAGTCACACTTTAGTTTGGAAAGTGCTCTGGAGTTGGAGGTGGGGGTCAGGATGTTAACTCGGACACTCACACAGTCACACTTTGGTCTGGGCAGTGGTCCCCAAAGGTTCCCCCCTGCTCCTTGAAGATGATGAGGTTCCAAACAGCCAGGAATGTGTCCTCAGGAACATGGAAGTGGAAGAGCTCGGTGCTGGCAAAGGAGCGGAAGGGACTCAGCTTGCGGGGTGAGCAGGTGGAGTAGTCAGTCAGGAAGAGGCCTCCTGGGGAGCAGGCAAGAGAGAAAGGAGCAGGGTAGGACACAGGGCACGTTCGTTAAGCAACAGGAATAGCACCAACTCAACAAATATTCTCCTCTGAGCCAAGAGCTGGGGCTCATGCTGCCCTAGCCATCTGCTTTACTCCTTATAATGACCTTGGGAAAAATGACCTGTTTTTACAGATAAGGAAACTGAGGCTCAAACCTAGACCAACTGAGGATTCAAACTTAGATCTATCTACATCCCAAACCAGGACCCTTTATATGCCCCCACAGCTGTCCCTCACTGAGGAGTCATTGTTCTCTTCCTAGCAAGCTTAACAAAAAAGAGGTGTGAATGACGTGTGCTGGGGTGGGGGGTGGGGGACATGGGCTCTTTGGCCACTGAGCAGGCTAGAACTCCACCTGTGGAGCTTGGGAGTCAGCACTGAATGTGTAACTTCCTTGTTTATTTTCTTCCCCTTTCTGTTCCCCTGTGGTTCCAGGAGCAGTAAAAACCCTCAGAAGCTTCACAAAAGCTGTCTGTATACTGGCTCAGGGCAGGAGGGGGAAGGGGAAAGTGTGGTGAGGATGCAAGGGGCCTGCTTGGGTGGCAGAGGCAAGAACAGGAGCTGGTAGGCCACCATGAGAACTCCCAGGAGAGGAGGGGAGTCATCAGGCCCTGTAGGATTCAGAATGAGCAATCAGAGGGCGTTTCCCCAGAGGGAGGCCCGGTGAGGCAGTCAGCTGGCGACTCAGGAGAATATCAAACCACTTGGAAATATTCACACTTGGGGTTGGGGGCACTGGTTATCTCTAACTGAAGCGCCAAGATACAAGTACCTGATCATGGTTGTTCAGAGCAGAGCCAAGGTGAGCAAAAAAGTCTGGTGTCAGCAGCTCTCCAGGCAAATGCATGGGCACTAGGACTGCCGTGACAGTGAAAATAACCCAGTAGCTCAGCTGCATAGAAGAGTGTCCCCGATGGCAGGCAAAGTTCTGGAGAATCTGACTGCTCTGGAGACCTAAGATCAGCCCTAGAGAAGCACAGAAGGATGCCCCCAGGACAGACAAGAAGGCTGGGAACTCCAGCAGCTTCAGGACAGAGCAGGGGGTAGAGGGAAGACCGTGGAGGGGAGCTTTCAGCCAAACAGGAAATACACACAGGGCTTACCTAGTCTGACAATCTCCCTTCCAGAAATGGGAGCTATAACTCAAGATGAGGTATTTGAAATAAGAGAGAAAGAGGCATCTGGGAAAGGGAGCCTGCTGAAGGAGGGAACACAGGTAAGGAAGGCACCACTGAACTTCAAGGTCACCCTGCAGGGAGCTGCCCTAAGTATGTAGAGGCCACGGGCCCTAGACTGGCCTATGCTCATCTTCAAAGCCATGGCTAGACCCAAGGACTAGTCAGTCCAGTTCAGACCACATGATGAGCCTCAACAGTCAGCAAGGAAAACCTACCACCTTTGCGAGCTGAGCACTGATAATGGAGGCAGAAAGCCAAGAGCGGAATAGCTTGGCTGCTATTGTTTACAAGAAAGTGGAGCTCTGGAGCACCCTCTACTGGGGTTAGGGGAGAGCTTCTCCTCCCCAAAGCTGGTACCAGGTCATCGGAAGGGCCACTGCTATTGTGAGGAAGAAATGTTGGCCAGTCCCCCAGTGCAGACCCTCCGAGAACTGGTGGTGAAAAGCAGCTAATGACTTTTGGAAAAAAATGGGTAAGTACAAAGTACAAAAGTACAAGTACAAAAAACCCTTGTGATTCAAAGGAACATGGCATGGCCTGGAGAACTGGGAAACTGGTTAAGCCACCCGAAAAGTGGCCAGGGGCTACAGAGGTCACAGAATGGGCTGGTGGGAAAGCGAGTGAGCAGCAACTGACATGGTGGGAGGAGCCTAGAAGTTCTAAGGGCAGATGCTTGAGAAAGTGTCTACAGCCCCATTCACTCCAAGCTTTGGTTTGGCATTTCACAACGGCCTACAGAGCTGTGTCCCAAAGGAAGCATGAGTAAAGCCCTAGTCAAGCCCAGAGGAACCCGTCCTGGATGCTCCATACTTCCACATGAAGCTAGGGTGATTTTCCACCACCGTCTGAAACACACACGCACACGCACATGCACACACGCAAATACACATACAGGCAGAGGCTGGCCCTGCTAGTGATAGCACTAGGTGGAACAAAAGGCGACTTCCTGTGATGGCAAGGCACCCCTGGGCTATGCAACTATAGTCAGCTGAGCCCAAGGAAAAGACCCAAGGATTGGGGTAGACCAGGAGACCCAGGAGGTACCTTCCATTCCTGAAATGAGACTAAAGCCAACAATAAGCATTCATTAAGACTACGCTATGCGCTCTGATATGCTCTGATGGTCCTGTGACACTGCCAGCCTCTTCTCAGGTGAAACCTGTCACCACCACCAGGTCACAGAGCACCCCTGCGGGCCAGGCCACAGCCACCAAGGCAGGGATTATTAACAACACCAAGGGCAGCCCTTAGTAGAGCCCATTCAGAGCTCTTTTCCAACTTCATTACAATTCTCCCCAAAGCACCTGAACCCGCTTCTGGACAATCATCTTTTAACCCACATCTTTCAGCTTCCTACAGTTCTGTGGCTATCAGCCACCCTCCTCCCCTAGCCAGCCCAGGCTTGCTCAATGGGCTCGTGAACAAAGAAGCCATGGTGGCAGGGATGGATGCTACAAATTGGGCTCAACAGTAGATTCTCCCTCACCTAAACTGAAAAACTGGCCTGGCTATTACCAAATTAGGCTATTGCCTAATTTGCCAGCAGCATTCATCAACACTGAGCCCCTCTATAGCTCCTTCCTTCAAAGAGTCAGGCTAGGGGCACATGGATTATCCTATATGTTGTGGGAGGCAGCAAACACTGCCTCCAACTAAGAAATCCATTTGGAAGGTGACACTTCGGTGATCTGTCTATAGGAGGAGCAAGAATTGCTGAAGAGGAACATGTGTGGCCACAACATGTACTCTCCCCCTCACGTAATCACATAGGCACTCAGAGGACACGCAGGGGCTCCCATGCATGCCACAGAACATACTAACACATAAGCATGTATACGCACTGCACATGACAAGCATTCCCCCAGACCCCTCAGGTACACAAACACATAGGTACCCAGATGCCAGTGAACATACATATAGAGCTTGGACACCTCTGCAGTGGCATGACCTTTGGCATGTACCAATCTCCTCAAGTTTATACACTGAACTAGGCCCCCAAAGCTCACTGAAACCCAACTCCCACCCCAGTTGCTCTGTTATTATTGCCAAAGACTCCCTTAGGTATATCTCCATCTTATCTAGAGTGCCAGAGGGAACTGGGGGCTGAGGCTGTGAAGACCACAGTCATCTCCTTAAGATGGGGCCAACTTTATGGCATATCTCCTACAGCCAGGAACCCCGCCTGCTCCCACATTCCACCCATTAAGAAGTTGGACCTCGGGCGCCTGGGTGGCTCAGTTGGTTAAGCGACTGCCTTCGGCTCAGGTCATGATCCTGGAGTCCCAGGATCGAGTCCCGCATCGGGCTCCCTGCTCAGCAGGGGGTCTGCTTCTCCCTCTGACCCTCTTCCCTCTCGTGCCCTCTGTCTCTCATTCTCTCTCTCAAATAAATAAATAAAATCTTAAAAAAAAAAAAAAAAAAAAGAAGTTGGACCGCCCCCTCTCCGAATCACTTCCTCCCTGGATGGTGGTCCTAGGCTGACAACTGGCAAATGTGGAAGCCCCACTGTGGGCAGACATGGGAGAGGATAGGTTGTGCTTTGAGTCTTCTCTCAACTGGGTCTATTTTCCTATTAGGCATATGTTGCAGTGAAAAAAAAAAAAACTAGTATAAAACAGGAACTAGGAAACTTTTTTTAGCCCCAGTACTGCCATTTACAAGCTGTATGACCTTGGGAAAACTGCCCCCCAACTGAGCCTCAGTTTCCCCATCTATAAAATGGCCCTCTATATTTCAAGATTGCTCTAAAAGTGTCAGGAATTATTCCTAAGCAAAACAAACTTATCTGGAACAAGACTCATTACAAGAAGAAAACTAACCCATGTCCAACTGTTTGCTACATTGTTCTCAAAACTGTTTTCTTGGGCGCCTGGGTGGCTCAGTTGGTTAAGCGACTGCCTTCAGCTCAGGTCATGATCCTGGAGTCCCTGGATCGAGTCCCGCATCAGGCTCCCTGCTCAGCAGGGAGTCTGCTTCTCCCTCTGACCCTCCCCCATCTCATGTGCTCTCTCTCTCAAATAAATAAATAAAATCTTTAAAAAAAAAAAAAACTGTTTTCTTAACCCTGTTTTAATGCATGCCCAATATCTCAAAGTTTAGGCTAGAACTTCCCACACTGGACTAGAGGCTCTCTGATATAGGATTATGTCTCCCCCATCAAACTTCCCTTGCAGAAGTTCCAAGTTTCCTTCCTTGGAAAAGCAAGAGTCAAAGCGTGGTCAGGATGGCCACTAGGAAAGAAAACCTTGGAGTCTCTGTCCTGGGGATTATTAGGCACCTGCTGAGCCTCAAGCCCTCGGTTTCCTCTCTTCTGACCCTCCCAATTTCTCTCAGTTGTGTAAGACCTCTCTCCTCCCTATTTCTCCGGACTTCTTCCCCAGTGATCTAGTTGCCCAGGACCCACCTCTCCTGAATCCCTCCAGTCCACCCCTCCCTGCCTCAGTGCTTCCTGCTTCTGCACTCACCAGCCCCCGGGCCAAGGACCGAGAACAGCAACAGCAGCAATAAGGCTGGCGGCAGCTGGAGCCCAGACCTGAGTCGAGGCTGGGAGAGGGGCAGGGTATGAGAGAGGGGGGTGGATAGTGGGAGAGACTTGGGTAAACACAGAGATGAGGGCAAAGGCTGAGATAATGGATTGGGCTGTGCTGGGCACTGGGGCTTGAACAAGGGCAGGGAATGGGATTGAAGGAGGGGCTGTAATGGGGACTGGGGCAAGGGCAGGGTTTGGGCACCGGGTTTAAGCAAACACTGGGAATGGGGTTGGGACAGGGTTTCGGCTGGGATTTGTGACAGGAGGTGGAACAAGGGCAGAGGAGGGGTTGGGGGCCAGGACAGGCACAGGGACTGGGACTGGGACTGGAGGGGGGGCCTGGGTTGGGACTCGGATCTGGGCATTAGCTGGGACCCAGGCCGGGGCAGGGGCCGATTTGGGAAGCGGGGCGAGGGCGGGGCTGGGGGCCAAGGGCTGGGTGAGGATAGGACGAGGGGCCGGGACCAGGGCTGGGCCATGGCCCGGGGCGGGGGCGGGGCCGGACAGGCCAGCGCGGGGTGCGCTCAGAGCTGACCCACGGCTCCGCTCCCCACCCCCAAGGGGGTGGCTTTCGGTGTCCTCGTGGGCCCGGGGCCGGGGTCCGGCCGGCTAAGGCCGGGCCGGGGACCTGGGTAGGAGTTCAGGCCTGGGCGACTCCGGGCTGCGCTGGACCGGCGATAACCAGGCCCCGCGGCTGCGGCCTCTGTCTGACGTAGTTATGACGCTCCGCCCATCTATCACCTCGATTGGTTCTTGTCAGTAGAGCCCACCCTCTGCCCTATGCTATTGGTCTCCAACTTGATTCTGCGGGCCTCCGAGGACAGACTCCGCCCCAGCCCCAGCTCCTTGATCCCCTGCCTTTCTCACCCCAACCTCGGAGCCCCGATGCCAACCTCAGATGCTCACAGCCCCCACTGATAGAGCCACACACATCTCATAGGAACCCTCACAAACCCAGACACCTACGGACGTCCCCACAGACGTCCGCAGACTACCCGAACACTCTCACAGAGATCCCGCAAAACCCCTTTAAAAGTGAGCCCTCTAGGCTCGTCCCCTCTGGGTCCAATGCAGCCTCATCTGGAGACCAGTGCTGTTGCCACGGAGACTCCTGGGCGTCTGGTTGCCCTGGTGACGGATCCCTCCTCTCCCGGCTGGGGTTCCAGAGGTTTCAGTCAAGCTCCTCCCTCATCCGCCGCGGAACCCCTCGTCCCTTCCCCTCCCACCCTCCCCCAGATCTGGCCAGAGTTCCTTTGCGAATTTCTGCAGGTGTCCAACTTCCCTCCCCAAGTGGTAGACTTGAAGGCAAGGCCTCTCATTACATAACAACTGCAAGGCGAGTCTCATCCAAGAGCCTTCCATCCTTCCCTAACATTTCCCCTTCCCAGCTTCAGACGAGATCGTGACCTAAGGACTTGTAATAGCCAAGCCAAAGCCCAGAGGTATGTGGTTTCTCCAAAGGTTCCTCCTCCAAACTCTCATCTCATTTCGCTCCTAACACCTTCTGCCCCTTCCCACCTCAGTCGAAACCCCTCCCATTCTCTACTTTTCATCCTTACACTCCCCCTCCACCACGCTTCTCCGCCCAGTTCCCTCTTCCCCTTCTTTTTATCCTTCTTCTCCTCCCATCCTTGGTTCTCCACCTTCAAGTATCTTTTTCCTCTTGCTGAATGTCTGGTCAGATTCCTATCATCCTACCTCTCTCCCTACTTCTTGTCCCAAACTTCCCCTTTGCAAAGACTCTAATGAATGTTAAGTGATGTGTTTAGCATCTCTGGAGCATGGGAAGAAAGTAGGGAGCACAGAAGGCTAAAGCTGGAATCCTTAGGCAGTGTTGCAAATAATGACAAGCCTTGAATGTCAGGGCCAAGAAATTTAGACTTAATCCTTAGGCTGACACAATTGAGTGTTTTTAAGCAAAGGAACGCCATTGTTAGGTTTACATTTTTAAAGAAAGATCTCCATTGGGTCATTATGGAGGACTGACTTCTTTTGGACATCCTTCCAAGACAAATTTGTCACACCCTACTCCACAGCATCCTAAGCTTACCCCAGCACACCACCAACTCAACTGTATTGTCATTTTGGTTAGCCTGGTCTCCTTCCCAGATTCTTTCAACTGAGTCCAGTGCTTAGCACGGTGCCTGGGCAAAAGTGTAAGATTCGGTTGTTTATAAAAGTATAAGTTACATAAATCAATGAAAGAATGGCTGAATGGATTAATATGCTGGAGGAGGCAGAGGGGTGAAGTTACTACATAATCCAGGTAGAAAATGATGAGAACTTAAACAAAATTAGAGAGGAAAGAAAGAAGAGAATGGATTTCGGGATTATTTAGAAGATAGGAAATATAGTCCTTGGTGCCTATTTGAAGATGAGGTTTGAGGGGAAAGGGAAGGCCAAAATAATTCCCAGAGTTCAGCTTTCATGCCCTGGGGGACATCCATTTAGCAATGTCCAGCAAGCAGTTGGGTATGACTGTTAAACACAGGGATTTAAAGAGGTCTGAACTGGAAATATGGATTTAGGAATCATCCGCATACCAGCTGGAAGTAACTGAAGCCTTGAACATGAGTGACATCATCAAGGGAGGGTGTATGTGGTCCCTAGACAAAACCAGACTGCAGTCAGGGCCCTGCCTAATGCATCATGGCATTGTCCTGCACTCTTAGGAGCAAACCCCCACTTTAGCTTGGTATCCCAGTCTCTAGAACTCCACTGCCTGACCTCCATGGTCCTAAGGCCCAGGACCCTGCTCTTGGACTAGTCAAGTTGCTATGTTCAGGCTCCCTCCTGGGTCACGGTCCTCTGCTACCATCTACTGATGGGATTCTGACTGCTTCAGCCTTTCTGTCTTTAAGTTCCAGCTCCCTCACAATCTGTAGCCACATGTCACATGGGGTCTAGGCACACAGGTGAACCTCCTGGCACCATACCCTGACCCAAAGTTCATTTTGCTTCCTCCTTATATCTCAGGTGCACTGAAAACCTTATCCTAATTCCATAACCCCCAGCGAACTCTGACTTGCAGACCCTCCAGTCCCAACCTAATGAAGACTGTACCCTCTTCTACCACTAGATGGAAGCAGACAAGGTCACAGAAGCGCCTCATACCACCATGGAAACAGAGAAGCACCCCTCTTCAAAGGACCCCTCCGCCGAGGACTCACAGGAGCCCCCTATCCCTGAAACAGGCTTTGAGCCTTCCATCTCTAAGACCCCTTTAGAGCCCCTTACCTCTGAAACCCTTTTGGAGCCTTCCATCTCTGAGACCCCTTTAGAGCCCCACACCTCTGAATCTCATCTAGTTCCATCCACTTCCCAGGCCCCTTTAGAGAACCATG